CAGGCTAACCCTAAACTCAGTAGATAACAAGGATGACCTCCAACTCTCGGAAATCTTTCTGCCTCAGCCTCCTGAGGCAACTTAGCAAGACCCTGTCTCAAAATAAAAACGAAAAGGGCTGAGAATGTAGCTCAGTTCAACCACCCTGGGGTTCAATCCCCAGTATAAAAAGAAAAAAAGACAATTGTAGATGTTAATGGAAAGAGCAGATGAGTACGTAAGGCTTACAGATACACACATACGCAGCAAAAAGATACAGAAATAGAATCAAGGTGAAATGACCGCCAGTACAAAGGCTGTGGCAGAGGACAACCTGAGCCAGAGGAGCAGGACCTCAACTGCCAGGTAACACCGACTTCTTGAGCTACAAGGGGGACTCAGGCACTTCCACAGGGGTGCTACTCTTCCCCACGTATGGGGCATTTACTTAGTGCTACTAGGAATTGAAACCAAGGTATTCTTAACCACTGAGCAGCAGCCTCAGACCTTTCAAAATTTTTCTTATGTTGAGACAGGATCTTACTGACTTCCCCAGGCTGGCTTTGAACATACGATCCTCCTGCCTCAGCCTTCTGTACAACTGGAATTACAGGCAGGCACCCTATATAGCTATTGCTTTTGCTCCTTTTCTGCAGTACTGAGAACTGAACCCACAACCTCTGCATTGAGCTTTAGCTACAGTCCCCTTATTATTATTAGTTTTTACATTCTGACACAGGGCCTCACTAAGTCACTAACTTGTCCAAGGTAGGCTCAGACTTTCAACTCCCAGCCTCCCCTCCAGGTGTGTACCACCCACCCCAGTATAGCTTTGTCTTTTTAATGAAGACAGAATGAGCCAGGTGTGTAATGCTCCTTGGGAGGCCAAGGAAGAAGGGTCACAAGTTCAAGCACAGCCTGAGGACTCAGTAAGACACCCCCCCACAGCCCCCCCCAAAAGAAAAAAAAATGAAGCAACAACTCAGACCAAGGCCTTGAGGCGAATCCACAGTACCATAAACGGTAAAAAGGAAAAAAAAAAACCAAACAAGTGCGCCCGCTGCAGCTCTTGCAGGGCAGCTGCCAGGCATGCATGAGCCCTAGGCTAGGTCACCAAACTGAAGGCAGAAGCCATTTAGAAACAAGCCACCCAGCTCTCAGAAGTAAGGGTCGGAGTCTAACCTCAGAGAAGAAAGCGTCTAGCAGCAAGAGCTCAGGCGGGGGACTGAGGGTTCAAGGTCAGCCTGGGCTACACGGCAAGACTGCCTAAAAAGGAAAGCCCTGCTAGGCATGGTGGTACAGGTCTGAGATCTCAGCATTTGGGAGGCTGAGGCAGACTGCGAGTTCAAGGCCAACCTGGGCTACACAGTGAGTTCAAGGCCAGCCTGTACTGCATAGTGAGACCCAGTCTCAAAAAATAAACAAAAACAAGGAGACGGGGATATAGCTCAGCCGCACATCATTTGCCTGGCAAGCACAAGGTCCTGAGTGTGATTCTGGTACCAAGAAAAAAGAAGTTAAAGGGCTGGTGAGATGGCTCAGTGGTCTAAAGCACCTACTTAGAACAAGCTTAGCAAAGCACAGGGACCGCGGTTCAATCCCCAGCACCACATGCCAGCCCGCCCCGCCCCCTGGTGGGCTGAGCTGGCCACACACACACACACACACACACACATAAAAATAAAAATTAAAAAAAAAAAAAGAAGTTAAAGTAAAAACTATGCCTGAACTGCACAGCGAGACCTTGTCTCAAAAAGACCTCCCCGCCAAAAAAAAAGTAAAAGTAAAAACAAAAAGGTCTGACCTCAGTCAACAGTTCATAAAGCCATTTCATAAAACAGAAAACACTGAAAGCATGATCAAATTCATTTTGAAAGTTCAGTTTAAGTTACTTCTGAGTGTCTCAGTAGAAACACTGAACCAATAAGCAAAATCACAACATGGGTCTAGGTCATGGATGCGTAAAGTCTGGAGCGGGCACGGAGGGCAGAAAGGCTGCGTGGGGAGACCCTGTGGGGACTTCAGGAGTTGCCAGAGCAGCTGGCAATGAAATCCAAGCCCAAGTGAAGACAGTGCCTGAGGGTGAAAGCGTCAAACCTACACACGACTCGGATGGCATCCAAGGGGGCTTACCGACACAGCCCTGCTCTGCTCTGCACATTCCCCACGGAGTTCACAGCTCATTGTTAGGTAACAGAAAACTCAGTCAAAACTGACAAGTCCCAAACAGCCATGGGTAAAAACAGCTGGTGTAATTATGTGGGAAATGAAGACGGGCATCTCGAGCTCCAGGCGAACCTGGGCAACTGTGCCTGAGCATGACCCTGTCTCAAAGAATTTTACAGGCCTGTGGGTATAGCTCAGTGCAAAGAATTCAGAACCCAGTACTGCCGCGGAAATGTATTTTGATTAAATAATGCAATATTGATTTTTGTTGCACCTAGCTCAGTGCCAGATGTGTAAGTAACAAGAAAAAACAAACATTCGCTGGGGCTGGGGCTGGGACTGGGGCTGGGGCTGTATCTCAGCCAGACAGTATGTTCATCATGAGAGGCCTGAGGTCTCTCCAGTGGACCACAAAAGTTTGCTGAATGAATGGGTGCCAGAACATTTTTCATTTTTTTCTTCCTCTGTGTGCTTATGTGTGTGGTGCTGGGGAATGAACCCAGGGTCTTTTGCACTGAACTGCAGCCTTTTTATTTTAATTTAATTTTATTTTTTGAGAAAGGATCTTGATAAATTGCTGAACTACCCAGGCTGGGCTTGAACTTGTGACCCTCCCCCTCAGCCTCCCACAGTGCTGGAGTCACAGGTAAGCACCTCCAGGAAGGCTGCACCAGAACATCTGGTATCTGCTCAACACATCTGTGTTAAGCAATACAGCCTCAAAGAGGCTTCAATTCTGAGCTCTGCTCACACATTCCTCAGAAAACTTCATTTCTTTAAAAGCACAATGCTGGGCTGGTGAGATGGCTCAGTGGTCTAAAGCACCTACTTAGAACAAGCTCAGCAAAGCACAGGGACCA